ACTGTAAAAAAATCGCGCCAAGTTCACGTTCATAAGACTATTAAGAAAAAAATTTTGTTTTCTTTACAAAAAGGTATAAAATAAAAAAATTAAAAAATCCGAGTAACCGATATGATTGTATATGATTTTCTGAAATTAGAAAAAATTTTGTTGTAAATTTAAAAATTAAAAAAAAAATTTTGGAATGTACTTGGTGTGCGTCATTGTGTATTTCAATTTTTATAAAGTCCTAGTAAATAGAATTAACGAATTTCATTAAAAGTAAAATATTTTGCAACCACGCACACTAAATACGTTCCAAAATTTTTTTTTTAATTTTTAAATTTACAACAAAATTTTTTCTAATTTCGGAAAATCATATACAATCATATCGGTTACTTGGATTTTTTAATTTTTTTATTTTATATCTTTTTGTAAAGAAAACAAAATTTTTTTTCTTAATAGTCTTATGAACGTGGACTTGGCGCGATTTTTTTTTACAGTGAAACTGTTTTTGTTCGGATTTGATAATCAATCTGAAGCGGCTTCAAGCATTTCATCAAATAGTAGGAGTGATTTATCAACTATTGATGAAAAACTTGTGAAATTTTTCGTAGGATGCAACCTTCCGTTTAGTATTGTTGAATCAATTCCGTTTAAAGAGTTTGTGAAGTCGTTAAATCCGAACTATCATCTGCCATGCAGAAAAACTCTCTCCAATACGTTGTTAAATAAATTACACAGCACAATTTCAAGTGAACACACAAAAATGGATCAGTCGGAAGGAGTAATAATGATAGATGGTTGGAAAAATTCAGTTGCAAATACTAAAAATGTTGTATGTATTATTCATACAGCAAATGAACCAAGTTTTTTTTTTAAACTCTTGGGATTTCACATCGTTATCTGAAGATACACAACAATTAACTAAAGTTATTGAAGAAGCTGTCGAAATAGCCAAAACAAATTATAATAAAACCATTTATGCCGGAGTTTCTGATAACGCTCCAGTTATGACAGCAATGGGTAAAGCTGTAAATTTATGGCATGCAGGATGCAGCAGTCATCATGGAAATTTACTTGCTAAGGACCTTATTGATAAATCATTTGCAGAATCTATAAATACCATTTTACGTACATTCAAAGCTTCTAATTTAGAACGAGAGATAATAGAAAACGGAGGAACAAAAATTAAATTAGCTTGCGAAACTCGTTGGTGCAGTTATCGTGATGCGTTTCGGTGTTGCTTAAAAAATTTAGATATGATGAAAAAAATTATCAGTAATAAATTAAACAAGCCGTCTTTTATAAAATCAAAAAAAACAAGAGAAAGAAAAATTGATTACTTTGAATGATCAGATTTCCGATGATTCTTTAATAATAAAATTACAAGATTTCATCGTTTTATCTGATTCAGTTTGTTCATTAATTAATAAATGTCAACAGTCAAATTTTACTTTACCTGATGCAGCTGAAGAATGGATGAAATTAAACGTTCCGACTGAAGATGAAAAAATTCAAGAAATTGTCCAAAAACGCATTGACAAAGTATTGACTCCAATTTTATTAGCAGCGAATTTATTGCATCCACATTATCAAGGAAAACAATTTCGTCATAACGATAAATATTATTCTCAAGCTATTGAATTTATAAGGAATGAATTAAATGAATCTTATCATGAAATGGAAGCTTATGAAAATAAAGTTGGAATTTTTGAATCATTACTGAAAAAAGGAAATATCCCTCCAAAATTATTTTGGCAAATGGCCGAAAACTCATACCCAGTACTTTCTCAATTAGCTCAACGATTGATTAACATTCCATCGTCATCAGCACAAATTGAAAGATTATTTTCAAACTGGTCATTTGTTCATTCTTGTCTTAGAAATCGTTTAACACCCGAACGTTCAGAAAAGTTAATCGACATTTATTATACATTGAAAATAAGTTCTGAAAATTCAAAATGAGTATTTAAAATATATATATGTATATTGTGTAATGTGTATGTATTATTATAAAATTTACAATGATAATTAATTTAGTTATATACTTGAAGTATATAATAAAAATAAAAATTTTTGTACTTGAAAATTGTATTAAAAATAATTTTATTGTTGTGTTTATTAGTAAAGTTGAAATTCACATCAAATATTTTTTTTAATAAAAATTTTCCAGAATAATGATTTCTTAATTATAAATTATCAGTAAAAGGATGAAATGAATTCGTAAAATATCATGTATCCAGAACAAAGTTTATTTCTACTTTCTATGAAAATTTTTATAATAAAAACAAATCAAATACATAAGTAAATAATTACCATATTTAAATTGGTATTTATTGATTATTATTACATATTTGTTTCAATATTATTGTTACATAACGTTTAGAATTTGTTTTAATTTGATCATAAACTGAGATCAATAAATTAATCTAATCACAGAAATTAGTAAGAACTCAAATCTCAGTTATTTATTTATCAAATTTTGAAAATTTTTAAAAAATAATTAAAATTTGATTATAAGCTAATTTAACAAATAGAATAACTTTTTTAATTTACCACAGTAAAATAATTATAATAATAAGTTACTTAGATCATAGATTTTCATTCATTTAATTTTAATAATTTTTAAGTAACATTTAAAATTTGCTTATAAGCTAATTTAATAAATAGAATAACTTTTTTAATTTACCACAGTAATAGTATATTACATACCTAGGCCAGTAAAATAAGAAAAGTCTCAGACCACATGTAATTGTTGGCCGAGGCGAAGCCGAGGTTGACAAACATGTGGTCTGAGGCTTTACTTTTTACTGGCCAAGGTGTGTATACTATTTTTCTGCTCGATGTAGCCGGAATGTGGCAACTTTGTTTAGCGCAACGGCCAGAAAGTTGCCACTTTCCGGCCGGAGGGCAGAAAAATAATTATGATAATAATTTACTTTGATCACAGATTTGCATTCATTTAATTTTAATACTTTTTAAGTAACAATTAAAATTTACTTATAAGCTAATTTAATAATCTCTATAAGATCTCTATGCAGATGATCTCAAGATTTACAGAACAATATCTAATGCATTGGACTCAGCAATACTTCAAAATGATATTGACACACTTTCCGAATGGTGTCATACAAACAAGTTATTTTTAAACACGAAGAAATGCTTTGCAGTGTCCTATTCTCGCTCCAATTCCCCCTCTGGCGCTAATTATCTACTAGAGGATCATCGAATTATGGTGCAAACAGAAGTCAAAGACCTTGGCATTACTATTGACAATAAACTCTCTTTCGCCAGCCATATTAACAACATTACTCTGCAAGCATTCAAACTCCTTGGTCTCATAACTAGGACTAGCCGGGACTTCAATGACCCTCTCACCCTAGTGCATCTCTTTTCCTCGCTTATAACTCCCGTACTTGACTACGGATCTGTCATATGGTCACCTTATACTGCTTTCTCTATCAATAAAATCGAAAGGGTCAGGCATAAGTTCTCCAAAATCCTTGCATACAAGTTTGCCAAAAAACACAGACACTCAGTCACACCAAGCAAAGTTCTTGAACACTACAAGATTGATACCTTTGAAAAGCGAAGACAGATCACCGATTGTACTATCTTCTTTAAACTATTTACTGGACTAATTGAAGCTCCTGACCTAGTAGACAGCTTTGAGTTCACTGAAAAATCTCTCAACCTTAGGCATAATCGACTACTGAAAACAACGAAGTCCAAAAAAAATTACGTCATCAACAGTCCAAGAAACAGAATATCAACTCTCGTTAATAGATATCATACTAATATAAATTTTTTTGAAGGCTTATATAAATCATTTCTGGCAAAATTAAAAGAAACTCTGTAACTCGTATTGTTGCAAATTTACTCCCCATGTACAACAAACTATTTTCTGTCTCTTTCTTAATATTTCTTATATTATTTCGTTATTATTACTGTTTATATTTAATTTCCCCTTATAACTTTTGTAATATCAATATGTACAAAGCCGTTTGGTGTTAAGCTATAATAAATAAATAAATAAATATAATCAATTTTTTTAATTTACCACAGTAAAATAATTATAATAATAAATTACTTTGATCACAGATTTTCATTCATTTAATTCTAATGACTGTTAAGTATTAATTAAAATTTGCTTATAAGATATCTTGTATATAATATAATCCTTAGGTAAGTTGTTTTAATTGATCACAGAAAAATTTGAATAATTAAATTGCTATTTACATGTTTATAAAATGTAAATATACTAATTAAACATTCAATATAACAATCTAATTTTTTAATAATAATTCCTATACCTGTATAATATATTTAATGATTGAAAATTTATATAATATATTCTTTGTTAATTAGCATTCATAAATTTAAGATTATAAAAAACATCAGTGAACTTAGGTACTAATTTTTCTGGTAAGTTTTTACCTAAGTCATACTGATTAAATTTTATCGTACATGCTGGGATTTTTAATAATGATTGAGCCAACATACTAAGATTTGGATTTTGTTCTGAAGCTATGCTCCAAAAAGTTTTTGAACAGGTAGTTTTAGTAATTAACTTTGCAAATAAACCTTTAGAATTTTTAAAACACTCTAACTCCTGCAATCCTGTATCATCTAGTTCATCAATCAAAAATTCATAAACTATATTACTATATTTACTCATTTTCATAAAATAACTACCTCTATACAATGGATGCAAAAAATTTGCCGTCAACGCCTGGGGAGTAATGATTTTTTTTAATTCATTGTCAATGATGTCTAAAAAATAATCATTTTTTATTAGTCATCTTAATTTAAACCAATCCTCGATGGCGTCAGCAATATTAAAATCATTTCCACTATTTCTAGTTATAAATTTTGAAAGAAAATCGAATACTGATACAGATTCTTTTAAATTATTCTCAAACACATCATCGAATATGTTCAATGTCGTTTCTCGGTTAAACTTTCCCAATCCTTCACCAAGAATTTGACGTAGGAGAGGTAAATTTTTAAAACATACCGATAATTTAGAATAGTATAAAAGCTGAGCATCTTGTTTGACAGGATAGAGTATCTCCACCTCGTTTTACTAATTCTTCTTCAATATCAGTACTTTTTATCGCGTTTAGCAGACGATTAATTTTGATTTCTAAAGAATCATCATGAATTGCTGCAATAAGTGTATCGACAGTTTCTAAATGACAATCGAAGTGCCACATAGATATAGATTCCGATAGAAGTGGCGATGCTGATGTGGAATCAAGAATACGATTATTTTTTGGTATGTTTATGAATGATATCACAGCATACACTGATATATAATACTTTTTAAGTGCGATCGAGCTTGACTCGTTAATCATTTGTAAATAATTACTTATATAATCACGTTCTTCTTCCAAGATCCAAGACTTTAGAAATAATGTATCATTTCCAGTTTTTGTTATAGCATTAATCTCTAAGCCATTTGTTTGAGCAACATTTTTACAAAATAATAATGTTCCCTTTTTCTCCTTCAAGTTTACTTTACGATCAGTAAATTTATCGTGAGCTTTTTCAAGTAGAGTTGTCGATAACTTTACTTCACTAGGGACTTCATATGCAGGCCGTAATATTTTACAAAATTTTTTAAAATAAGGATCTTGAATTAGATCAAATGATAAATTATTACTATAAAAAAAGTTACTTAAAGCTTCGTCAATTTTTAAGTGTTCTTTGTCACTTATCGAGTCTAAAAAAGAACTGATTTTACGCTTCTCCTTTTTTAATTGAATAGACGATGATGGAGTAGCAGCCTCATCATAAGAACCTCTTTTAAGATCACTATTATTATTGTCATCATAGCTCCCAGACCGATTTCTTCGTTTTTTAGACAATGTTATATTACAATTATCTTCCGATTCAGAAATTGAATCAGAGTTTTCCTAAATACACGACTTCCTATAAAATAAATTTATAGTTTAATAATTTTAAATCATAGAGAATAGAAAAAAATTAAGATTAAGATTTAATTTACCTGTGACTCTTCAATCGTTGTTCAGCGGTATTATTAATTATTTTTTTACACTTTACACATGATGCAACTTGTTTTCCGTTTTCACGAATACGCTGAAATCCTCCTTCTTCCCAAAAACTGTGCTTCGGTCGACCTCCTCTTTGCATATTTTTTTTTTCTTTATGATATTATAATTCTATGAATCAATAATGTAAAAATTTCAATTTAATTAAATATTAGGTTAATAATGATAAATTTTTAGTTTATATTTATTTATTTACTAATTTAAGTTCATCAAAAGTTCGGTAGATGGTGTTGAAATACCTAACGTAAAATACGTAAGAAACCCAACCGGTAATTTACGTGTATTATACATGTATAAAACTAAGTATAATACGTATAGTATTTTACGTGCCCACCCCTGGTAGTGAGTAACCTTATACAATTTCAAAAAAATAAATGTGTATATGTATTTAATTAATTGTTACTTGTCATAATTTATATTATTGTCATATTTGTTAATAATAATAATAATAATAATAATAATAATAATAATAATAATAATAATAATAA